AACTGAGGAAATTTACGCAAAATACCCCTCTCCTACACATCCTACTATCTTACCCCCTACTCCTCCATTCCCACTGCTTCCCCTTGCCCCTTTATATACTTACCTTCTTCCATTAATTACCTACTGGTTCCACACCACTACCCCAAAAATACACAGAACCAGCTCTTACCTCCACTGAACGGACGAGATTCCAGTAATCACACCATGAGCTACGTAGGCAGTGGGGACAATATGATTGACCCCCTGGGCTTGCACAATAGGCCTCGTCAGGAGGACCAAGGGCACGACAAATCCCCCCCCACAAAAATGTCCTCCGATATCGCATACTTAGGTAATAGGGTATACTACATTTCCATAACAAATGTAAACACTAATATACTTTGTGACACAGAACAAAATGAAAACTTTACCTGTACAAGAATGTCATTGACCACTATTGTTTACTATTGCCCAATATTGAACTATGTATAATTATCGTGAACACTCACTGTACATTGTATCCAATTGTAACCTTCTGTATCCTTTCCTTTCTGTACCCTCCCTCCCATGTTGAAAATTTTGAAAAACATTCCACAAATAAAGAATTTATATAAAAAAATAATAATAAATGACTCCAGTGTGTGCGGGGAGTGCCGAGATCGAGAGGGCCATTTCTAGTCTTAATCAGTTTCTGTTGTTGGAGAAGCATACTCGGTTTGAATGGGAGTGGGAGAACATCCTAGGCACAAGTTTTACAGCTACCTTATGGAATGAGGTTCTGATCCTGCACCATAAACGCTCTATTAGCGCGAGATATTAGGAGGTCAATTATAAATGTCTCTCATCTATCGCACCCCCGAAATTTTATATAAGATAGTCCCATCAGTTTTCATCAGAGTGCTAGAGATGTGGGATCAATTAAGCACATATGGTGGGACTGCCCAATCATACAAGCCTACTGGCAAATGGTTAGGGATACCCTCACACAGTATTTGAGACTTGCATTCGAAAACTTTCTACTACATGTCACTCCCCTACCAATCTCTTAATATAATCATTCACTATTGATACACCTTCTGAATGCCTCAAAGACATTTGTGGCAACCCTCTGGAAGAGCCTGCAAGTAAAAAGCAATTTACTTAGTGTTAGGGAGATTAAAGCAGGTGAATACCTGAGGGGAACTGGAATAGAACATGCTGAACAGTGGTATTTATCGGATGCATATATGTCTCATTGTGAGAGATCCACAGGCAATGGCAATGAGACAGAGAATTAGATGGAAATAAATATTTTGCCAATCTAGGGGGAGGAGAGAAGTGGTGGGCAGGGTGGATGGGAGGGGTAATTGGGCTAATCCTTTACTATTTTTAACTTCTCTCACTGTCATATTTTCATTCAATTGGTGAAACAAACAGCATTGAAGATTGCTTAAAAAATAGTTGGGCAATATCTGAGATGAATGATTTTTGTGTTAAACCCCAGACTGGTCATAATGATCCAACT